CTTATTTTTATAACGTTTTAAAATTTTTTTTATATATATTGATGTAATAAATGATATCGGGATAAGTTTGAAATGAGAAAACACGTGAAATGAATCCAAACACGGCATATCTAAGAGTCATAGGACCCAAGATATCAACGTGCGTATAAAATCAAGATGGCCGAAAACAAAACACTAATTAATTGTGTCAATTTTTCTTTTAAAATTTAATTTTATGATTAATATGGGGGTGTGATATATGAAATTGGATTAAAATTTTCTGATTTTTACGAAAATCTTATTTTTGATAACGTTTTAGAAAATTTTTAATATATATTGATGTAATAAATGATATCGGAATAAGTTCGAAATGTGAAAACACGTGAAATGAATCCAAACACGGCATATCTAAGAGTCATAGGACCCAAGATATAAACGTACGTATAAAATCAAGATGGCCGAAAACAAAACACTAATAAATTGTGTCAATTTTTCGTTTAAAAATTAATTTTATGATTAATGTGAGGGTGTGATACATGAAATTGGGTTAAAATTTTCAGTTTTTTTCTAAAATCTTATCCTTTAAGACATTTTCGAAAATTTTTAATATATATTGATGTAATAAATGATATAGGAATAAGTTCGAAATGAGAAAACACGTGGAATGAAACACGTCTTCAGACGCACGGCTAAATCCGAATGTTTCTAGTTCTAAGTCTAGTGTTAGTTCTAGTTTTACACTACCACTATCACTACAACTAACACAAGACCTAAAACTAGAATCATTCGGGTTTAGCCGTCTTGAAAGACGTGCGGCTAAACCCGAATGTTTCTAGTTCTAGGTCTTATGTTAGTTAAAATTTTAGTTCAACGAAAAATATACAACAATTTAACGCTGAATAACAATTAAAACTGTAACTAACACTAGAATTAGAACTAACACTACACCTAGAACTAAAAACATTCGGATTTATCCGTTTTAAGATATGCACGAGTTCGTTTTATCGAGATTGTACTGAATAATAATATTTCTCTATATTTATGATCGATTAAAATTGAAAGGAAAAGAAAACAAATTTTTTCGTAGAAAATTTAAACACGAACTTGGTTTAACCACAACATCATAAAAACTGTGAATGGAGAAACGGCCATAAAAGTATAAAGGGGAAGTTTCAACGTTATTTAGAACTTGGCGAGAGCGTTTATATCAGTTTATTAAAAGTTGTTCACTTAAAAGTAATTTTTGAAAATGAATAGGTTCGCGTAAAAAATTTATAACTTACCATCCAAAAAAGTGTTAAATTGGCAAAATTGGTATACGATTCTATAGTAGAAAGAACACTAAATATGAGGCACACGAGGACTAGCATAAACCTGCAAGAAAAAAAAGAACACATAAAAAAACAACATTAGAAACACACAATGGACCGTTTTTCTTTTTAAGCAGAGGCAGTTGAAGCCGGCACCTCCACCAAAGAATAAAAATGAATCATCATAAAAATTGTCATAAAAACTCTTTGAAATCTCTTTTATACGGTCGTTACAAGTCTTTCTGATTCTCATTAACCGTCGTTGACGTCACCATTTTGTTTCGTTTTGCTTTATATTTCTTTCTGTAATAATTGAATGGGTAACCGCGGGTTACGTAAATGATCCAAAAAGTGAGAGGAGCGTTTTGAACGTAACGATCCAAAGCGTACATGGTTTGTTATTCTTGCGTTCGTGGTGAAATTGGTGGCTGCGGTACCGTTTCGCTGTCATATTAAGGGTAGTAAACATCTACCTCACAAACAAACCACAATTACCACAATTTGCTACCTCTAACATTACATAAACCATAACAGTCTATATTTAGACAATATAGGTATTACTACGGTTAATAATTAGGTGAATGTTAACTAATCTAGATTATTTCTTATCATATATGATAAGTTTATATGTCTACTTAATTTATTACAATAAATAGTGATATATGTATAAGTTATATTACCAAAGTTAAAAATAAATAAAGAATAATAGATAATATAATAATATAAATAAATAGATAAATGTTGTAAAAAAATATAAGCGTTAATATAAACTAACTACATCAGTAAAGTGTTAATAGCCGAGGTTGCTAACGACCGAGGAGCTACATATCCCTCCATTAAAGAAATAGTTATAAAAGTTTCTTGGCGCAACAATCCACAGCGTTAATGTGACAAGAGGTAAGGTTGTTTGCG